TCAGATGTTTGACATATATCAACTGAAGGGCTATCTGGTTAATTGAAGCAAGACTTGTCTGTCCTTGCCTGAGATCCTTTTAACATATTAATACTGAATACCTGCAGGTGGTGACATTTATAGCTGCCCTACAGCCTTCCTGTTATAATAGCTATCTCTTTGCATCAGTTGTAGTTTAGGAATAATCAGTGTGCTCTAATGTGATGAATCCATAGAGAATTTGAAGATTGAGCAGTAGGAGAATGGATAGTGCTAAAAATAGTCCAGAATGGTGAGAACTTGTATTCCTCAGATATTTGTTGCTGAGGTCTTAGGGTGAGAAGATTTAATTTTTAATATCTGGTACACAAAGGGAATACTGTGGGCCAAACATATTAGCAGCGAGACAGCATTTACTTTTAATTAAATTTGGAAGTCTTTAATAACTCTAATCTAGAGCTTTATGTTTTCCAAAAATTTTATTAACTTTTATTTTTATTGCATTGACATATTGGTGTTTGGGAGGACAAGAAAGAAAAAAAATGTCTAGGCATGTCCAGGCATGACAGCAATAGTCAATTTGCACAGTTAGAAGAATGTCGTGTTCTGGTCAGCTGAGAATGAGCCTGATCATAAAGAGACTTGCCTTTCTACTTATGAAAAAATAGGGCTTGGCAATATCAATTCATGATACAAATTAAAGCAGCAACAAAAATTACTTGCTAGTAGGGGGAAAACCAATATTTGCATCTGACAAGCAAATGGCTCGACCATCTGGGCCTCCCATAATTGCTAGAAAGCCAGCTTTTCTCCATTATTCATATACCATGCCTTTATCCAAACATAATCACATTCCTCTAACACTGTTTCAGGCAGCTCAGAACTGAAAATATCTCACAGTCTAATCCTATCTTTTATTGTATAGTTGCAATGGAGCTCCAATATAATGCACCCGATATCCAAATCAAAACAATCTTTAGCTCCTCAGATTGATGCTGTAGTTGGGCTATGGAAGAGTGCAATGCTGTGCAAGAAAAAAACGAACCCAAGGCTACAGGAGGAGCAGAACAAATTATTAATTAATTAATCATTAATATTTGTTTCAGAAAGTATGCAACAGAGCCAAAAGATAGAGCACAAGTAATATCTGAAGCATTCATTCTAACTGTATGATTCACACATTTGCCTTTGGGAAATATAGGCAAATGGTTAAAAAGCATACTAAAAAGTATTCAGTCAAAGCTGGTTGCAAGTAGCACATTAAATGGTGCATTGCTACCAGGATGTTCTTCATTAATTATTCTGATAGAGGAGAATCAAAAGATGAAAGAAGATGATCAGGTTCTACACATCAGCCTCTTCACTTTGTGTGATGGAGTCAAGATTGTTCAATTATAGTATCATACAAAGTGGACTACCAGGAGGATGTGTAGAACCTGATCATCATCTTTCATCTTTTGATTCTCCACTATCAGTCAAAACTGGTTACAAGTAGCACATTACATTCAGAGACAAACACGTTTTTTCAGTTCCATCTGTATTGGTCAAACACAAAGTGACCATCTATTTTCAACAGGAGTCAAGACTGTAGACTAGGTGACATTAACCAGCCTTCTCCAATGTCTTGCCCTGCAGATGCAGAGATACACTCTCCATCATTTCCAGTTACTATCATCTTTGTTTATATTGACAGCAATGGTCCAGAACTGTCAGAGGTCAACAGTTTACAGAAAGTTGAAAGATTTTTGAAAAACATGCAGTTTTTGAAAGTTTTTTCTTTTTTTGCAATTTGAGACTTATTCACTGTAAAATTCGCATGTCATTGTGGTACACAGAAAACAGCATGGAAAATAGTATGTCTCTACAGAATTACTTTGTCCAGTGCAGAAAACTGTTTTCTATGCAAATGAATCATACAAATGTTATCCAGAATAAATATCCATTTGTGGCATTTTTATGAAGGAAACAATCTTTTCTGGATGGAAAGTATTTCTGCATTGAAATATTATGTTCTGTGAGAAAATTTTGTTCTTTCTTCAGACAACTACATTTTCTGTACATAAAATGCTGTTTTCTCCACAAAACAACCATATTTTAATTTTGCGCAGATAAGTCCCAAATTGCAAAGATTCTTCTAAGTCCAAGGTTCTTCCTATGAAGTCATGCAGGTGAAATGTCAGGAGAGAATGCTGCTGGAAGATGGCCATAGAACTTGAAAAACTCACAGCCACCCAATGATTATAAATTCTACACATGAAAAGTTTGTGAACATTTGCATATTCAATCCTTAGTCTTAACCATGCCACCTAAGAGCCTGTCCTTGTCATTAAATCCACAATTTCCGTAGCATTTACCTGAGGCAGCAGCTGCTTCAGAGCCTTCTTCATTAACTTCAAGTACAGACTTATGAACTGCTTTTGAAAGGTAAAGGTCTTTGTTGTCTGGAGGAGAAACAAAAGTCAAAGAATAGTAAGAAATACAAGTAGGATTTCTACCCACAATCTATTCATTTCTACTAACACCAGAGGGAAAATAGGGTTTGTCGCAAAATCCACAACTGGAAATCAAGATGGATGGATACTATTTATTTCATTAGGATGTGACTATACTATAAAAGTTAATATTTTATTAATTCACTTGTTTTTCTGAGTTTGCAATGATAAAGATGCTATTCTTGTTTATTCCATACAGCACAACAAACATGGACAGGCAGGAGAGAACCACAGGCTTTTTAGCAATGAGTATTATTTTATTACCTCCACCCTACCCAGATGGCCAGTGCTGGTTAAAGCTGTTTGTGTATCACACTTCCTTCTGACTCAGTCCACCCACTCCCATTTCCCACCTATGTTTGGGACAGCTAATAAGAGCTAAGATGAGATGCTGCATGAATGTCTATGACAGCCCAAGGATGAGTATGTGAAAAGAAAGCAGAAAAGGTAAAAAGTAAAGAAACAAATAATAATGCTGGCATCTGCACTAAATCAGCTGGAAAAATCCCCAAGAGAGTCTTCATCCCACAGAATCACATAATATACCTAAAGGAAATCTAGTCTGCCTTTGGACCACTCAACACAACCATCTATTCACAACAACATCCTCCTGCTCATCACTATATGTTCTATGAACCAAATTATCTCATTAACTAGGAATGAATAATTATGGTGAGGGCAGACCGCCCCAATGTCATTAACACATCTGAAACTATATTGAGCTTCATATGAAATGTAAGCTGATAAGACCCTTGGAAACTACTCAGATCAGACCAGTAGCTCTGAAACCTTTGAATCACAGATACTGTTGAACTGCAACTCCCAGAATATCTGACCACAGGGCATGTATGGCTGAGGCCTCTAGGAACTGATTTTGGCAAGAATTTAGAAGCCAAATTTGAGAATAATTGGATATCATAGGTCTACTTATCGTCCAAGTAATATGTATTCTGATTGGTTGCCACCTTCCAATGTCCCAGACAGAAGTCTTTCCTACTATCTGTCTTTTGATGGAGAGTCATTATTATAGTGGTTTAAGTGCTTGGGAGACCACAGTTAAAATCCTCACACAACCATGGAAATATACTGAATGACCTTAGGAAAAGTCACACTCTTTGAGCATTATGAAAAAGCACGTAGTCACAAACACTTAGTAATTCTGTTAAATGGAGATCACAGGGATAGAATTAGGATCCTTACTGAACTATGACATTTCTCACTAAATCTAAACAACCAAACACACAAGATATTAGAAGGAAAATAGATCCTCACAAACCAAACAATTAGCACTAACTCAAAAGAGAGCAGATGCTGTTGAACCAAACTCATTGGACCATCACACTTGAAATCAAGAATACATGGCCAAAAAACATAAACAATAATTTATATACATTAATCCACATGCTTAGACAAAACATTTTTAAATGGAGGCAAGAGGGAAGGAATATTGCATTTCTTTTCATATTCCTACCTGGCAGATAATTAAAAAGGAAACCAGCATCTGTGAGAAATGTAAGAGCATCAAGGCAGAGCTCCAAGTAATTTAAAGACAGTCTTTCAAAAAGAGAGCTTCAAAATGATTGCTGGATATTTAATTAAATAAAGGGAAACGATGAACAGCCTTTCCAGTACCACCTGGGATGTCTCCTTTATTCATGGAGAAAAATGAGGAACACTACCATGGAACTCATTAATCTTCTCTATGTCTAATGTGCTATGATCCTCTATAAATAACATAATCTTTTAATGGTAGAGGAGTTAGTTTGCTCAAGAAAAAAAAAACAACGGATCTGTGGTTTCAGGTTCTCTCTTGGTTTGGGTACTGTTAAAAAGGGACAAAGTATAACTCTTCCACAAAACATTCATCTTGTGGATGAAATGTAAAGCTAATTCATGGCATCTGCTGTTTTTTGTGTGCTTTATAGCCCAGTCCCAGGACTTGCTTCATCAGCAAATTGCAAAAGCTAAATAAAGTGTGTTAAGAAGTGAGAGCAAGAAAACTGTTTGGCTGGATCAAGAAACAGATCAGCCAAACTCTACACTCTGCTTCTGGCAATAGCCAGGCTTAAGGGATTCCTCCCCAGTATAAAGAGTCTACTAAGGCCACAACCTTTCTTGTGGTGCTTCCAAACATTTGAGTCTCATTTTAAGGCACCAGGTAGCTGATTTTTTGACTCGCTCCCCCTTTGTGTCAGCAGGGCATTTTCCAGTAGAAGAAGTTGCTGCCTTGCTCTTTGCTGCACTGTTGTATCAAACTCATAGATGGCTCCAAATATGTAAAAGTTACTTTCCAAAAGTACATCTTCTGGAATCCCTCTGTCAGCATGGCCACTGATGGTTGGGAGATTTTGGGAGTTGTAGCCACAGTCCCACATTATCTGAATTATTCTCCCATATAGCTTGTCAGGATGGTGGACCACCTTCTCTGTTCCACCATCCTCACAAGTACATTTGAAGAATATATGGGAGAAGTTTTTTCTTGTTGGTTGCTCACAAGCACTGGAACGTCCTTTCTAACAAAGCCAGACTGGTATTCTCTCTAGTCTCCTTTCATAGGCAAGCCTTTTATTTTGGCACGGCTTTGATGGCTGACTGCTGAAGCCTTTCAGAATGTGGTGTACAGGTTATTTGCAATTTTAATGGTTTTGTTTATAGCTGTTTTCAATTAAACTGTTAGCTTAATTATACAATTTCTAATATCTGTGTGGTATGAATTTAAAAGCTATATCTAGGTTGTGTGATTCCCAGTGGATGTTCATTTTACTCTTCCCTGCAGTTCTTCTCCTGGCAGACAAAAGACCTTTCCATTTAGGCAGGCTTTTGGTTTTTAACTTGCTGCATCAGACTGAATTTAGTGGGATGCACTGTGTCTATATTTTCATTATGTTTTAAATATGAGTTAAAGCTGTTCCAAACTAGGGTTTTAAAACACTGTTATTGACTGTTCTTCTTATCTTTTGTATTACTAGTTTTGGCTGCAATCTGTAAGCTGTCTTAGGAAAGCCAGCATGACATAGTTGTGTGAGTACTGGAATACAGCTTTGGACAACAGGGTTCAAATTCCTATTTGGAAAACTTGCTGGGCGCCCTTTGGTAAACTCAATTTTTCAACTTCAAAGGAAGGCAATGGCAAAATGTCTTCTGAACAAATCTTGTCAGGAAAACCTTGTGATAGTTCCCTTAGGGTCAAAAATGATGTGAAGGTATGCAACAGTAACAAAGCTGTCAGGACTAGTTCTACTAAAAAGGTGGGGTATAAATAAAGATGATAATGACAACAACAATAATATTTATATGCTGCACTTTTGGTTTTTTATTTTCCTGATGAAGGGAGAATTGGACATTGGAGTAGGTAATACTTGAAGGCCATAAAAGTAATGCTTTCTGTATGGCAAGTCATCTATGATAGTAGCACAGGCCAAGATATATAATCAATGCCCCTGTTGGATGGAGGGTTCTGGTCACTGAAGTGAAAGAAAGAAACTTTTCTAAGTTCTGAAATACCTAACATTTTGTGTCTGTACCTACATTTGCAGGCAAAAGCTGTATGAGAAATACTGGTATTGGCATCTTTAAAAACACATTAAGAGGCTATTGACCAGAAAGGTCATGTCAAGTTGGCTACATGTCACCTTTCTTCTTGTAAATATGAACAGCAGGTGCAAGATATCCACTGTCCCATTGCCCTGACCCAGCTCAATTCCTTCCCAGACTAAAGCAAAACAGGTCCACAAGGGCACAGCTTGTGACAAATATCAAGTCCGATTTGGACCTAAGAGTTGTGTTGTGAAAGATGGCTTTCTGTAGATTTGTCTCAAACAGTATACTGCAGTAACATTTGAAAGCCTGTAAAGCTCACAAGCCAGACTATTCATCCTTAACATGAAATGCTGCCTGGTGGGATCAGGACATTAAGGGATTTGCTTGACTGACCACATTCACAGAGTCACAGGCCTTTGAATGTCATATCTTTGGGTTGAAGCCAGAGAAGAGCAGTTCCTACAGACAAGTTGCAATGTTAAAAGGAGAACTGGATATTTTGTTGTCCTCCAGACATGTCTGAACTCAAATCCCTATGAACCAATGGGGAGGAATGGTAAGAACAGCAGTCCATCAGCATCTGGAAAGCCACATGTTGCCAATTTTTGGATACAAGATATCTTCTTTGATGTGTGCAGAGTTGTCCTTCTGCTACCGTATTGTGGTGTGGAAGTAAACCTAGCTTCCCAAACATTGTGTCAATGAAGAGTAAACTTTAACACCTTCTATCATGCTGGCAAGTCTTTAAAAGGGTCCTGGAGGTAGACTATGTTATTCAAGAGCCAGATTAGTCAAATATGGAGAATAACAACCACCAGGTGACAAATTGGCCATAGCAATGTTGCACTGAATAGTTTCCATTTACTTAAAGCATAAATTAATTCATATATAGAGTTCCTTTCAGTTTGTGTAGACGTTATCAAAATTCATTGCCACTGACTTCATAAACATACAGAAGCTGGGTTTAAATACCCAAATTCAGGGGCTTTATGAGAATATGGAGATTTAAATGGGCACAACATTCTCCCTTGCTCACCAGGGCTGCTGCATGCACTTTAATAGAGGATCCAGTTCTGCACACATCACGGCAGACATGGAAGGAATGACTCTCTTTACTAAAGAGATTGAGGGGAGCAGCATTTATCCCAGTGTGCAACTTGGGATAAATGTTCAGTTTATAAAATGATTAATCCTTAGACGTTGTACTAAAGAGTGTACTCATGTCTAATTCAAGTGCAGGGACACCAAAAGCTGCCATTGAATCTTGTCACAACACTCAGTCTTACTACAAAACAAGTTGCATGCTGAAATGTGACTTTCAAAACTCAGTACCTGCGCTTTAAAATTGAGATGTGACTGAGAGTCCACCCTAAATTACTGAAATTTGTTGAAGATCTGGTAGTCAAACA